ATGACCAACACGTCTAACTCTTGACTGATGATGTTCTACACATATTGTCAGGTTTATTTAGGTTTAGTTTCTACAGGGTTTGAGGTTGTATGCCAAGGCTTACCTAGGTCATTAATTATGGTTCTTTATTTCATGCTCCAAGTATATAGACTCACGGACCGTCACAAACAGGGATGTAGATAAATGGATGAATGGAACGAACAGATTGATATAAGACAGGCTTTACTACGATAGAGGTTATGGACAAATCTCAGTATGTGGACTTAGATGTAAAAAAAAATTGAAATACAGCATCCAAAATATGATACATATAGTGACTAAAATGACAGTTGTAGGACTAAACATCAGGACTATAATAAAAATATAAATAAAAAGACAATTTAACTACTTCTGCAGTCATCTGATATCAGCCGTTGGTCTATTGGGCTCAACCAGTTGTTACCTTATATCAACATTTGAGCATACGCCCTCAACCATTTGTCATGTTATCTTAATATGTGACCATACGTCCTCAACCATTTGTCATGTTATATTAACATCTGACCATATATCCTCAACTATTGTCACGTTATCTCAACAACTGACCATATATCCTCAACCATTGTCATGTTATATCAACATTTGACCATACATCCTTAACCATTTGTCATGTTATCTCAACAACTGACCATACATCCTCAACCATTTGTCATGTTATCTCAACAGTTGACCATATATCCTTAACCATTGTCACGTTATCTCAACAACTGACCATATATCCTTAACCATTTGTCATGTTAACCCAACAGTTGACCATATATCCTTAACCATTGTCACGTTATCTCAACAACTGACCATACATCCTCAACCATTTGTCATGTTATCTCAACAACTGACCATACATCCTCAACCATTGTCACGTTATCTCAACAACTGACCATACGTCCTCAACCATTGTCACGTTATCTTAACAACTGACCATACATCCTTAACCATTGTCACGTTATCTCAACAACTGACCATACATCCTCAACCATTGTCACGTTATCTCAACAACTTACCATATATCCTTAACCATTGTTACGTTATCCCAACAGTTGACTATACGTCCACAACCATTGTCACGTTATCTCAACAATTGACCATACATAATCAACCATTGTCACGTTATTCCAACAGTTAACCTTACATCATCAACCATTGTCACGTTATTCCAACAGTTAACCTTACATCATCAACCATTGTCACGTTATCCCAACAGTTGACCATACATAATCAACCATTGTCACGTTATCCCAACAGTTGACTATACATCCTCAACCACTGTCACGTTATTCCAACAGTTAAACTTACGTCATCAACCGTTGTCACGTTATCCTAACGGTTGACTATACGTCCTCAACCGTTTGTCATGTTTTCCATCATCTGACCTGTATTACCACTCTATTCTGTGTTTCTTAGAAATATAGCTAAGATAATAACTGACCAGTGTATCGTAGGTATATTTTTCAGTAATGAAGGTAATATCTAACGAGGCCTGGCATGGCCAGGTGGTTAGGGCGCTCGACTCGCAACCTAAGGGTCTCAGGCTCGAATCCCCGTCTCACCAAATATCTTCGCCCTTTCAGCCGTGGGGGCGGTATAATGTGACGGTGAATCCCACTATTCGTTGGTAAAAGAGTAGCCCAAAAGTTGGCGGTGGGTGGTGATGACTAACTGTTTTCCCTCTAATCTCTCACTGCTAAATTAGGGACGGCTAGCGCAGATAGCCCTCGTGTAGCTTTGCGCGAAATTTAAAACAAACCAAACCTTCCTATTTAGCCCAGCGTCAAAGTAAGTACATACGAGTATCTGAGGAAAGTTTTTAGTTTTCACAGTTTGTTGTTTTTAGGTGTCTTAGTTGATATGTCACCATTCACAAGATCAGTTTATTTGTTTTAGGTGTCTTAGTTGATATGTCACCTTTTATAAGGTCAGTTTATTTGTTTTAGGTGTCTTAGTTGATATGTCACCATTCACAAGGTCAGTTTATTTGTTTTAGGTGTCTTAGTTGATATGTCACCATTCACAAGGTCAGTTTGTTTGTTTTAGGTGTCTTAGTTGATATGTCACCATTCACAAGGTCAGTTTATTTGTTTTAGGTGTCTTAGTTGATATGTCACCTTTTATAAGGTCAGTTTATTTGTTTTAGGTGTCTTAGTTGATATGTCACCTTTTATAAGGTCAGTTTGTTTGTCTTTAGGTGTCTTAGATGTTATGTTACCTTTCACAGGGTCGGTTTGTTTGTGTAGTTGTTATGTTACCTCTCACAAGGTCAGTTTGTATGTATATAGGTGTCTTAGTTGTGTTACCTTTTACAAGGCTAATTTCTTTGTCTTTAGGTGTCGTAGTTGTTATGTTACCTTTCACAGAGTTAGTTTGTGTGTGTGTAGGTTTTCACAAGATCAGCTTATGTGTTTGTAGGTGTTGTTTTACCTTTCATAGGGTTAGTGTGATTGTCTTTTGGTGTCGTGGGTGTTATGTTCTTTTTCACAAAGTCAGTTTGTGTGTTTGAAGATGTTATATTACCTCTCACAAAGCCAGTTTGTGTGTTTGAAGATGTTATATTACCTTTCACAAAGTCAGTTTGTGTGTTTGAAGGTGTTATGTTACCTCTCACAAAGTCATTTTGTGTGTTTGTCCTGAAAGTATTTGTGTAATCCAACATGGAACAAGATCTGTGAGACTGAATCTGATCTATCATTACGGGCATGTCAGTATTTGTGTGCTGTACTCGACCATTTCTGTTGTATACAAGGGTCTTGAGTACGTCATACTGAGAAACAGGTTGAGTAAGAATATTTAGACCAGATGTTACATGTTATAAGTTAATAAAAGAAAAACTGACGGAGCTGTAGCTTTTCTCCGTTCTTATTTATAACAATAAACACTGGAGTCGTTCAACGTAGTATTTTTTATTTCACTCTTTATTACTTTTGACCTAACTTTTCCTAGTTTTTTTTTTCTCTTTCATCTTAATAATTTCTTGGCTAAAAAGTAGACTATAAATTCATTCAATGTTCAGATTTACCAACCCAGACGTAAGCATTGCTGACTGAACCCCTGGTGGCCTTGAAATACCCTTCCCGTTTCGCGCCACGGGCTGAACCTTGTCGACAGTGCTGTGATTACCTGGCTACCTTATAAGGCAAACCTTTCGTTCGTTTTAAAATGCCGATTTACATTACAGGAGTATTGACTGGACGAACAGTCTCTATGATCAGAATCCGTGCGGGGGCGCTGGTGTCAAGCCTATCGCCTTAGGATGTTTCACCAACCTGAGTCCAAAAAGGTGAAATAAGTAATGAGGAAAGGGGCTAAAGACGTGTAGTTGTGAAAAGAACTGACATAGAACTATATCACATATTTAAATAACGGTTAAAAACTAGGCATCATTACACTTCTGACGAAATTAGTTGTTAAAACGTTAGTAATTTAAAAGAACCAAGATCAGAGTCAAAGGAGCCAATTAGGCTTAATATCATATATTTATTTTGGGAACGATACACTGGATAGTTTGTGCTATACGAATGCTTATTAAGTAATACAGGAAATAATCAGAGCAAATATTCCCAAAATAGACTGGTTTTTATATTTTAAAAAATCCAAAGCGAGCGACTAGCGTGCTCCTGAACTTTTAATAAAAGCTGCCCCCCTCCCCACCTGTCCCTCAATGAAATCTGAAACGGCCCGGGATTTCGTGTTGGAGAGTAACCCTTCAGTATAACAGTAAAAACCGAAATTACTATAAAGGTGTTTTATTTAAAGATCTTCGTTTTAAGTTACGTGCATGAATGTATCAGTTTTACATCAAGGTTGATATTCCAGAGGTTTCAAATCAATGACGTATTATGTAGAACTGTGTCCCCGGATTAAGACTGCACCATGTTCTGCAACTGAAAGAATGAGATAGACAAAATTCACTCTCTGGTGTCACGTTACGGTGATGTTTCATTAAAACACAAAACAAACATAATGGTAACGTAACATAGATGATAAGACAGAGCGGTGTTTACCAGAAGTGCTATCTACACGTAGTAGACTGTATGTTACCAGTAGTAGTATCTACACGTAGTAGACTGTATGTTACCAGTAGTAGACTGTATATTACCAGTAGTAATATCTACACGTAATAGACTGTATACTACCTGTAGAAGTATCTACACGTAATAGACTGTATGTTACCAGTAGTAGTGTCTACACGTAGTAGACTGTATATTACCAGTGGTAGTGTCTACACGTAGTAGACTGTATGTTACCAGTAGTAGTGTCTACACGTAGTAGACTGTATGTTACCAGTAGTAATGTCTACACATAGTAGACTGTATACTACCTGTAGAAGTATCTACACGTAGTAGACTGTATGTTACCAGTAGTAGACTGTATATTACCAGTAGTAATATCTACACGTAATAGACTGTATACTACCTGTAGAAGTATCTACACGTAGTAGACTGTATGTTACCAGTAGTAGTTTATACACGTAGTATACTGTATATTACCTGTAGAAGTATCTACACGTAGTAGACTGTATGTTACCAGTAGTAGTGTCTATACGTAGTATACTGTATATTACCAGTAGTAGTATCTACACGTAGTAGACTGTATGTTACCAGTAGTAGTGTCTACACGTAGTAGACTGTATGTTACCAGTAGTAGTGTCTACACGTAGTATACTGTATATTACCAGTAGTAGTGTCTACACGTAGTAGACTGTATGTTACCAGTAGTAGTATCTACACGTAGTATACTGTATATTACCAGTAGTAGTGTCTACACGTAGTAGACTGTATATTACCAGTAGTAGTATCTACACGTAGTAGACTGTATATTACCAGTAGTAGTGTCTACACGTAGTATACTGTATATTACCAGTAGTAGTATCTACATATTATATGATTATCAAGAGTTTTGGATTGAATTAACAGTTTAATAGAGTAAACTGAAACTTTGTCTCTGTTTTTCTGACAGATCTGTTTTGATTAAAGGAAGCTATTATATTTAGAGATTTTTTTGTGTGTGTCTCAGCTCTAGATACCAACAATGTGACTGTGAAGAAACAAGTGTTCGAACTGCTCTCCGCCCTCTGTGTGTACAGTCAGGAAGGATATCATCGTTGCTTGGAAACGTTACAACATTACAAGGTAGGTAGACGTAAACACTCTACATTAATGTTCATCCAGGTATGGACACGTGCTAATACAGCCGTTGCTTGGAAACATTACAAGGTGGGTAGACGTAAACACTCTACATTAATGTTCATCCAGACACGGACACGTGCTAACACAGCCGTTGCTTGGAAACGTTACAACATTACAAGGTAGGTAGACGTAAACACTCTACATTAATGTTCATCCAGACATGGAAACGTGCTAATACAGCCGTTGCTTGGAAACATTACAAGGTAGGTGGATGTAAAGATTCAACATCTATATATGGACACGTGCTAACACAGCCGTTGCTTGGAAACATTACAAGGTAGGTGGATGTAAAGACTCAACATCTATACATGGACACGTGCTAACACGTCCGTTGCTTGGAAACATTACAAGGTAGGTGGATGTAAAGACTCAACATCTATACATGGACACGTGCTAACACGTCCGTTGCTTGGAAACATTACAAGGTAGGTGGATGTATAGACTCAACATCTATACATGGACACGTGCTAACACAGCTGTTACTTGGAAACATTACAAGGTAGGTAGATGTAAAGATTCAACATCTATACATGAACACGTGCTAATACAGCTGTTGCTTGGAAACATTACAAGGTAGGTGGATGTAAAGATTCAACATCTATACATGAACACGTGCTAATACAGCTGTTGCTTGGAAACATTACAAGGTAAGTGGATGTAAAGACTCAACATCTAGACATGGACACGTGCTAACACAGCCGTTGCTTGGAAACTTTAAGAAACTAGAAATACACCAGTTTAGATTCTGGTATGTTTATGGATTTACTTATTATTTAGAAATCAAGGACTGGATATCACTTCTTCGATTCTAGCCTGTCTTTTTAATAAAAACTACTTTTCTAAACATTAATCTTCAATTTTATAAGTAACCGTTTCTTTTTTTCCTTTCTTGCTCTAAACTTAGGAGCAGAAAAATGAAAGGTACAGGTTCAAGTTGATTGTTGAAGAACTGAAGAATGCCAAAAATGTGGAATACCAGACGGCGCTGTTGGCGTTTGTAAACTGCGTGATCATCTCTGCTCCTTCTACGAAGAAGCGAATCCGAATAAGAAATGAATTTATTGGTAAATCAACCGTCTTTTAGAATGTAAATAACGTCTAAATATGAGTAGATGAAAAATATGTGAAAAACGTTTCTTATTGATTTGTTAACGTTAGACCTCATGCAGACACACGAAGATTGTAAGAAGCCTATGGAGAGTTTATCATGAAGTAACTTAATATTAATTAACAGAAACAAAATTATGTTAAAAACGTTAAATATAACTCAGCAAAACAAACCTCAAAAGGTTAGTTATAACGAAAGAAATTACCCGAGAAAAGTTAATTATAAAATAAAACTAAAATCAAAATTTCAAAAAGTTATATTAGTGTAGGCCACAGAAAATGACATATTAGGGATAACTACGTTGGACAGAGAAATACACATTGCTTTTTCCGGAAACAGTTTTAATCAATTTCCTTTTTTGTAGTAGCAATAACTTTGACCCCTTCTGGTTTCTTTTGTTAATACGATTAAAAAAATAATTGTTGCTGAAGTGTTAAACAAACCTGCACGTTCATTAGATCTACAGGTCGATAATAAGCTTATCTGGAAACAAATAATATAGATTGATATTTAGTTTCATCAAGAAAGCCTAGTTCTATGTTTAACAAAGTAGTGATGCTGACGTTGAAAGTAAGCGTTTAATCAATATTGATATAAGTCATACTGGACTGATTGAAAGTAAGCGTGTAATCAGTATTGATATAAGTCATACTGGACTGATTGAAAGTAAGCGTTTGATCAGTATTGATATAAGTCATACTGGACTGATTGAAAGTAAGCGTTTG